GTCAGTAATGGCTCTTGCCCAGCAGTTGTCTCCAAATCTTATTACGTGTCCAGCCCATCTGATTTTCAACATCTTAGCAAATGAGTCAGCGCCCCTGATTCTTGAGCATTGATGGAGGTCAGAACTCCAGATTATTTCTCTCATTTGAGTGAAGTATGATACTCCAAGCATAGCTCTTTTGGTTCCCCTTTGGGAGACCCAAATAGCATTCTCATCCTGTTTTCATAGGGCCCAGGTCTCTGCATATGTTAATGCAGGGAGAACAGTAGAATCGAAGAGATTTGCCTGGAGCTGGAGGTTCTTCATCCTCTTACCTATTTTTTTGACGCTCTTAAAGGCGTTCCAAGCCGCTCTCTTCCATCTGAGCAACTCAGGTGCCAGGTCATTCGTCATGTTGACTTCTTGACCTAGATACATATAACTTTGCATTTGCAGATGTTCGTCCCATTGAGAGCTAATGGAACATCAGGAATGAGACCTTTTCTCATAAACAGTCTTCATGAGATGTAGCTGTAGTCCGACCTTTCCACACTCATGGTCAAAGTTGGCCAGCATTTGTGCTGCTTGGCTGATGTTTGGTGTTATTAGAATGATGTCATCAGTGAAGTGGAGGTGGTGTAGTTGCCAACCGTCTATCTTCACTCCCACTCCTTCCCATTCCAATTGCATGACGTCTTCAAGGGTGGCACTGAAGAGTTTCGGGAAAATGGTATCAACCTGCCTAACCCCTCCCTTGATGTCAATGATCACCTCCCTGTAGAATGGTGAGATCCTGGTAGTGAATCTGCAATACAGCTCACAGAGGATGCTGATGTATTGACTTTGAACACCCTGTTTGGCTAGGACCTCGATGACCGCTTCTGTCTCAATAGCATCAAAGGTCTTCTTTAAATCAATGAACGTTAGAGCGGCATCTTCAACTCCCGAGAAAACTCAATGAGCTTGGTTATCATGTGGATATGGTCGATTGTGCTGAATCCTTTGTAGAACCTGGCTTGCTCACATGCTTGTCCTTCATCTAGTGTTCTGCAAATCCTATGCAGGATGACTTGAGTGAACAGCTTGTAGATGACAGACAACAGGCAGATCATGCAATAGTTGCCAATGTCGTGGATGTCTACCTTCTTGTACAGAAGTATAGTCCTGCTGGTTTTCCATTGGGACAGAACCTTGCATTCAGACAGGTAACATGTGAAGAGCTGAGCCAGTTTATTGATGAGTACTGAAGGTAAGTTCTTTAATTGTTCAGGTCTGACCTTGTCTGGGTTGGGTGCTATTCCTTCCTTTAGCAATGAAATGGCGTGTTGGTTTTTGAAAGGGAGAACATTGGGAACGACACACCCATCCTGAAGAATCTGGTATGTGGGCAGGTGGATGTGGCTATTGAAGAGATCAGAGTAGAAGTCATGGATAATCTTCTCTATTGCCCTTCTGGAAGATGTGATAGATCCATCTGGATGTCGAAGGGCAGTCATCTTGGTCTTGTAGTTGGCGAAGGACAGGCGGGTGTTGTAAATGCTTTTCCCCGGCTTCTGCTGCATAGGAAAGTACTGTTGCTCTTCTCTCTTTGAGATCCTCCTTTCTTGTTTCTCTGCACTGCTTTGCCATCTTGGACTTTCGCTTGTAGTTGCCTAGGCTTTCGCCAAGCCACGTTGGTGAATAAGCTCAAGAGTTTTCGAAGACAGGTGTCTTTTGTGGCTATCTATCTCTCTGCGTTCTTCGCACAATCATGGAGTTGCTGAACCAGTCGATTGTATTCCTCATTAATGTTGTCAATGACGGCATCTTCCTATGTTGCCTCAAAGAGCTCCCAGTTGGTGGTCGTCTGGGAGTTCTCTTCTTAAACTTTGCAGCCCTTTCTCCTCACTCTGTGAAGTAGAATTTTGCACAAAGGAGATGGTGGTCCGATCTTGTTTGAAATTTTGGGACACCAGTGATATCGGTCAGGCAAGATGGTCGATTGAATATGATTTGGTCAGTTTCACTGTGGAACTGTCCACTGGGAGACTACCATGTCCAATCTATAGATTCGGCCTTCTGGAACTATGAGTTACCATGGATAGTATTGATCATCATGATGAACTCAGACAGTCTCACACCCTGTTTGTTCAACTTTAGGCCATGAGTCCTGATGTGGAGTACTTAGGCCAATCTTCTTGGTCCTTTCTTGGCATTAAAATCACCATCAATAATCTTGTATGTGTGGTCTGAATTTTAAATTCTACTTCGTGGAGCGGGGAGAAAGGGTTGCAAAGTTTAAGAACAGAACTCCCAAAACAACCACCAACTGGGAGCTCTTTAGGACTATTGTTGCAACATGAGAAAATGCCTTCATTGAAGACATTGACAAAGAATACGATCAAGTGGTTCAGCACTGCCACGATTGTGCGAGGAATGCTGAAAGAAAGAGATAGCCACAAAGACGCCTATCTTCAAAAACTATTGAGGTCATTCACCAATGTGGCTGGGCACAAGACTCAGGAAACCACAAGCTAATGTCCAATCTTGCAAAGCAGTGCAGAGAAGCGATAAAGGAAGTCCTTAAAGAGAGAAGAGCAGCAGTGCTGGCCGATGTGGCAGAAGTCGGGAAAAGCATTCACAATGCCCGCTTGTCCTTCGCCAACTACTAGACCAAGATGATTGCCCTCCGACATCCTGATAGATTTATCACATCTTCCAGAAGGACAATGGAGAATATAATCCATGAATTCCACTCGGATCTCTTTGATAGCCACATCCACCTGCCCATATACCAACTTGTGCAGGATGTATATGTCGTTTCCAACAGTCTCCCTTCTGATAGCCAACAGGCCTTTTCATCAGTAGAGAAATGAACAGTACCCGACCCAGACAAGGTCAGAACCAAACACCTGAAGAATCTGCCATCAGTACTCATCAATACATTGACTCAGCTCTTCACACACTCTCTGTTTGAATGTAAGGTTCCGTCCCAATGGAAAACCAGCAGGACTATTCTACTGTACAAGAAGAGAGACATCCACGATTTTGATAACTATTGCCTGATCTGCCTGTTGTCCATCATCTACAAGCTGTTCACTCAAGTCATCCTGAATAGGTTTGGCAGAACACTAGATGAAGTATAACCATGTGAGTAAGTCAGGTTCCAAAAACGATTCAGCACGACTGATCATATTCGTGTGGTATCCAAGCTCACCGAGGTTTCTCTGGAGTTCAAGATGCTGCTCTGTCTGGCACCTGGCACCTGAGCTGGGCAGGAGGAAGACAGTGGCATGGAATGCCTTGAAGCGCATCAAAGAAATAGCTAAGAGGACAAAGAACCTCCAGCTCCAGGCACATGTCTTCAACTCCACTGTTCTTCCTGCATTAACATATGCCTCAGAGACCTGGGCCCTACAACAACAGAATGAGAATGCTATTTGAGTTTCCCAAAGAGGACTTAAAAGAGCTATGCTTGGAGTATCATGCTTCACTCAAGTGAGAGAAGGAATCTGGAGTTCTGACCTCCATTGATAATCGATAATCAAGGATCCTGACTTATTTGCCAATGTGTTAAAAATCAGATATGCTGGACATTTAATACGATTTCTAGAGGACCGGTGGACTAGAGCCATTATCGACTGGATTCCACAGGTTGTCAAAATATTGCATGGTCACCCATGTACGAGATAGTCAAACTTCTTCGTCAAGACTCTGAACAGACCTTTTGAGGCTCTTCATGTTCCTGGAGCTAGCAGATGCCATTGGGCTACACTAGCATGTGACAGGAATGAATGGCGCCCACTCAAGCAAGTCGATGAGTAATGGGATGTCAAGTGATCAAGTGATCAAGTTCTTTTATTTTATGTATTCCCTTTGCTTGCGCCCCTTCAAAGAATTCCACACCTACAATCAAACTGCTGCTATCTCTCATTCTTCTTATTTCCTACATAAACATTGTCTTACTTCAAAAAGAAATGGAGACATAGCCTGTGGTTACAAAAAGTAAGATTAAACAATGTTAAAATATCTATATATCCCAATTTTATAGGTTCAAGGCAATTTCTATTAAAATCCCCATGAACTATTTTACAGATGGTGAAAATTGATTCTAAAATATATATGGAAAGATCATAAAATCAATGCTTTTGAAGAAGTTAAGTTGAAGAACTCCCACTATGCATTTTTTAAAATGGACTTTCAACAGTGGAAACACTAGTATCTGGAGAAAAACTGATTTATAAGTCAATGGAATAGAAGATAAAGGTCAAAATATATCTACCCAAAGAGCCAATTTATCTTTGGCAAAGGAACAAGAAAATTTATGAACAAGAAATAGTTTTCTCTGCATCTGATTTTGGTAAGTAAATATTCAAAATTAATAAAAAGTAGACCTTACACAGGTCTGGTATACTTGGCATCTATTCCATCAAAATAATAACAGACCTGAATGTAAAATGGACAGCTATAAAAATGTGAGCAGAGAAACAGAAAATCTGTATGACCTGGGTTGCCTATAGTACAATCCACCATAAAATTTGGAAAATTCAAGTTTAATTCCATTTTAAACTTACCTTTGAACACCTCAGTGTCAAAAGCTCAACAATAAGAGGCCACTGCCTCAGTTGCAGTGAGGACAGGGGGATCTCCGGAAGGCCAGCTCATCAAGCAGACTGCCTTGTGGGCCGCCTGCACCCAGGCCATCTCTCCCCCCCCCCCACATAGCCCACGATAGCGACCCTGGCCTCCCAGCCACGGAGGATGCGTGTGCTCCCCTGCCATCCCCACCCAGGAGCCCCAGGAAGCAAGGGGGGGAAGGCTGGTCCAGCTCTGCCATTCTGCACAGGCACCTAAGATGACGCAATCCTCACGCGGGTGGGGTGGAGCAGGGTCCTGAGACCCAGGCACCGACCTAAGAAGTGGAAGTGGGCAGGAGAGAGGTGGCAGCTGGCATTGGTGAAGGACGCCCTTGCCAACGGAGCTCTTGAGGGGCCCAGGACTAGAAAGGAAATCGGTGAAGCAAGAGAAATACGGAACCCTGTGACTGAGGATACCAGGGAGTATCCTGCTGGGCTCCTAGACACAGATCTTATGGTCTTGCAAGTTCTTTTGTCGGGGGAAATGCCTCAAGTCAAAAGAAGCTGAAAAGCTCCCCCAGATGCCTGGGAGCTGATTGAACCAACTTTGGATGAATTAGGTCAAAAGATGAGAAAAGCTGAAACAGAACCTCAGGAGAGAAAGAGGAAGGTGGAATCCCTCTGGTCTATCTTCAGGATCCGCCACCAGAAAACCTGCTTTATTCTTGACCTCTTCTACAAATGGAAAGCCATCAGCAGAGAGCTGTACGAATACTGCACTGCAGAATGCTCCGTGGACAGGAACCTCATGGCCAAATGGAAGAAGCAGGGCTACAAGAGCTTGTACTACCCGCGTTGCATCCAGACCCGCAACACCAACTTCGGGACCAACTGCATCTGCCAATGGAAGTGGGCCGGATCATTGAGTACATGAACTGTGGCTGCTGGGACTGCTGGGGCTGAGCCCCCACCTCCCTGAACTTCAATATGGTTGGCTATTCCACGCCGCCCCCAGCGCTTCTGACTGCAGGGCCCCGCCAAGCTGGTGGAGGGAGGCATTGGCAGTTCTGTGTCATCTGTAGAAATAAATCCTGAGACTTTTCTTTTTTTTAAAAAAAAAAAGCTTAATGTGGGAAGCCAAGAGCCCTCTCATAGACCCTGGCCATGGTTCCCATGTTAGGAACTGCTTGGGACAGACATTGGTGACAGTCTCCCAGGACTTCCTGATCTCAGCAGATACCTGATCTATAGCCACACATCAGGCTGACAGCTTATCTGGCCTTATCTATAGTAACCTCCAGGATGCATCTACTCCCTAAGACCCTTTGATATACAAATGTAAAGCTCAGGATGCACCTACTGCCACAAGACCCTTTGATGTGCAAATGTCTACCTTGAATGTTAGGTAAAGCTCTTGTTGCTGACCTTACCATGTATGGTTATATTGCCTCTGCTCCTGACTGAGCTGCCCGGACCCTATATAAACAGCCTGTATCCCTCAATAAAGCCTGTCCCTTTTTCTCTCTGTTTCTAAACTGTACTCTGTCTCTTGTGTCTCGTGTTCATTCGGTTGGTCCCTCCTTGCACCATCGGATCAATCCTCGGGCCACCTCCGCGGGGGCCGGAGAGTGGTTACCGGGGCCCCCTGCAGCTTAACAATAAAATAATCTTTTATAGTGAACAGAAGCTTCTGATACATCACAGAAGATAAATAGAAGATGTAAGTCATATAATCATAGAAAAATATTTTTTGTCCAAAATGTATATAAAGAAGGCTTTAACATCAGATTTAAGATCCGCGCGACATCTTATTATGACATCTTATTATCTCATTCCTACTTTGGACAAACTGGCAGGCTATTGAATGTAGCCTGCCCACAGGGCAGAGTCTGGCAAACTCCCCTTGGCATAACCAATATGCCAAATACCAGTAACATGATGGGTCTCATTCTCCTAAAGAGCCTTGAATATAATCTCAGGGCTAGGTTGAAGGAGACGTTACTGGGGCCTGCTTGAGGCAATTGACGAATAAGAAAATGAGCAATGCAATTTAAATTGTAAAATATTTTGACTTTTCACAATAAAAATAGAATGAAAACAAATTATAAAAATATGCAACATAGTCCCTACGAAAATCACAATTGTGTTTCTATTGGGGGTGGAGCCATAGCTCAGCGGGTGGGGTGTTTACCTTGCATGCAGACAACATGGTCGACCTGAGTTCGATTCCTCCGACCCCCTCAGAGAGCCCTGCAAGCTACCGAGACTATCTTGCCCTGAGGGCAAAGCCTGGCAAGCTATCCATGACGTAGTCGATATGACAAACACAGTAACAACAAAGTCTCATGATGGAGATGTTACTGGGCCCGCTTGAGCAAATCGATGAACACCGGGAGGATAGTGACAGTGACAGTGACAGCATTTCTATTAGAATGGGTATTTATTTTTGCACAGCATATTAAGTAAACTTTTAAGATCTTGCATTGTTTGCTGATATATATTATTGTTTTCTTAACTTTTATTTCTACATATTGACTATCTTAAAACTCTTAATTATGTAATCATTTTCTATGAAGAACTAGCTGAGGTTTTTCCAATTATTGCCTGAATTCAGTTGTTTATTAAATTGAGTAACTATTACAAAGTAATATTTTTTAAGTATGGAGTATGAAGTTGTCACCCTAAATATACAAGTTTAGTGAGGTGCTTCTATTATTTATAATGACGCTATCATATAGTTTGAGATGTGCATTGCACATGAACATAAATATATGTATTTTTAACTGTTAGAAATTATCCTTATATTTATATTAGCAAATATTTTTATACATAACAGTGAATTAAAGCATTACATATTATGAAAATCAGTTTTATGCTCTCAATTACTGGATTCTACCCTTCTCTTTTTTAGCTGTGCATTTCTTTGATTGTACTATATTTGTGATAGTCCTGTCTGATAAATGTTTAAACCTTTCTTCATATCCTCTCTACTCTTCCTTATTTGGTCACACCTTTTATTTAATATTTATCTTGTGGCTCGAGATATGGAGTTAACTTGGAATTGATCCCCATCATCCTATGTGGTCCCCTGAGTACTGCCCAGAATGATCCCTGAGCACAGAGCCAGGAGCTTAACTCTGAGAAACACTGAGTGTAGCCCAAACAAATGATAATAATAATATTTATTTCTAAGTTTTCACAATCTGTAGAAATGTAGACACTCTTGCTGCTGGAGAAATAGAAAGTGCAGTCTAAAGGATCTTGCCTTCAAATCTTCTGATCTACGTTCAGTTCATTCCTAGCACCTCGTATGTTCTACCAATCCCTGCCAGGAGTGACCCCTGAGCACAGCACCAAAAAATAAGCCTGGAGTAAATCTGTTTGTGCTCCCCTTTTCAGAAACACAGTCATTCTTAATGCAGCACAACCTCTTCATAGATAAAAGGCATATTTTCCCATGTGTTTGACATTTTAAGTCTGAGATTATAATTTCTCATCTACACAATATACATTTTAAGGTCTGCAAGGGATTCTATTTTTGCAGTAAGAAAAACCCATATATATGTATATATATATAAGCACAAACAATGCAGGAACATGATGAGTTTCATTTATGCACAGATATATAAACATTTCATATTATATATAATAGAATATCTTTCAAATGAAACTGATGGCCATGTTTGGTAAGTAGAAATAGGCAGTTAATATTAATGAAAAACAGTGATATGCACACAAACTTTCTCAAGATCACTAGAAACTTTAGAAATGCAAATTAATATAGTGATTTGTGATTTTTCATGCAGTGTAAGGAAAAGTGTTGAAGAACCAAGCATTCACATGCATTGTTGATGAAAGTGTAAATTAAACCCACTATTTTGAATGCAAGCTATATTAAAATAACATTTATGTTCTGGCCCAAAAAATCCACTTGGTGAATTTATTACCATAGAATTTTATAAAGCTGAAAGTAAAAGAGTTGTTCTGTTTATATTAGTCAAAGGTTAGAAAGGATGTCTTTAAGCATCAACACATATGGTTAAATGAGGCAGTACCATATCCAAACAGGACCAACAGTCAGTTTTATAAATGGTAGCATTAGTTTACAAATGATTCTTTACATGATGCTCTAGCAATGATATCTCTGGGTCATATGTTTGCATTTGCCAGGAATCCATAAGCTGGTATGAACTCTACATGTAAATGTGTGATTGCAATTCTGCCACCCATAAGAAGTGTATTCCCAAAGATCCACTTTTCATCTAGGTTTAAGAGTAAGAAACACCGAAGCTATCTGAACTCATATAGAATAGTAGAGTCATCTGAGAGAAAGAACAACAGGTAGGGTTCTTACCTTGCATGTGGCTGACCCAGGTTTGACACACAGCACCACGAATGATCCTCTGTGTACCGACAGATGTAATTCCTGAATAACGAGCCAGGAATAATCACTGAGCACAGCCTGGAGTAGCCAACAAACAAAACCAAAGAAAACAAACAACAAAATAAGTGGGCCTATAAATTCAGAAGCAGTAAGAAGTAAGTGACTGAAATTTAGAGACTAAATATTTTTGTTCTGCTGTGTGGCTCTGTGACTCCAATAGCTGTTTGGATTGTTTATGAGGCCATTCTGATTAGAACACCGACACTAAATATTTATTTTGTATAAAACCCTACATATCTACTATTGAATATCACAAGGAAAATAAGATTTTTATGTTTCTAACAAAAATATTCTAAGTGAAATAATTTTGTGATGAGATATAAATATGTGTGCCTTACAAAAGCAAATTTACAGCTATTTTCAAAGAATCTGAGTTTTTTCAATGAAAAAATATGGGGTTGTATATAAATTAATGGTTTCAACTACATCTGATTAGCTTTAATTAAAATATTGAAAAATATGCATTCTATTTGTTCTTTTATGATCTCCAAAAATGTTACACACAATTATCATTCTTTGATAAATAATTAATATTTAAAGTTAAAAGATATAAAATGTAATGAGAGAGAGAGAGAGAACTCCCGTCGCTCTCTCTCCCGTCGTTCATGAATTTGCTCGGGCGGTCCCAGTAATGTCTCCATCGTGAGACTTTTTGTTACTGTGTTTGGCATATCGAATACGTCACGGGGAGCTTGCCAGGCTCTGACGTGCGGGCGAGATACTCTCGGTAGCTTGCCGGGCTCTCCGAGAGGGGTGGAGGAATCGAACTCAGGTCGACCATGTTGGCCGCTTGTAAGGCAAATGCCCTACCACTGTGCTATTGCTCCAGCCCATAGATAGTACAGCGGTAGGGCATTTGCCTTGCATGCAGCCAACATGGCTGACCCGAGTTCGATAAAATGTAATAAATCATTGAAAGGATACAGAAAAATGTTAAAATTTTCATGATTAGAAATTATGTGTTTTTCTTTGCTTTACAGTCTAAATTTCAATTTATAATTTCATCTAAAAATTATTTGAGAGCTACCTCCATTTTCAATATAATCTTTGTTGAATTGCTAGCATGTCAGAAAATTTGTAAAGTACCTATAATTAATTATCTTATTTAACACAATGCTAGTTGAAGTCGGATGAACATAAAATCATGGTTTACATATGATTTTAATATTTAGACAATATTTTCAAAAATTGACACTTGATGCTGGAGCAATAATACAGCGGGTAGGACCTTTGCCTTGCACACAGTCAACCCGGGTCCTATTCCCAGCATCCCATACAGTCCCCTGAGCACTGCCAGGAGTAATTTCTGAGTGTAAAGTCAGGAGCAACCCCTGTGCATTGCTGGGTGTGACCCAAAAAGCCAAAAAAAAATTTGACACTAAAACACGCTTTTCTTCTAAATTAGAGCTGTAAGTCTTTAGCTTTAGTTTTATTTTTAAAAGAAATCTAATATTCAGAAAGTCATGAAGTAGTGCAAAAAACCCGATTCC